GAGTTATGTAAACAAACGTTGTTGTTGTTGCCTGCCCGGACATGAATGATTCCTGTTCACTCTGTCAAGCCGACCAGAAAAACATCTCATATTTGTTAATTTATGTGTTTATATGTTATGTAGCATGTTTATTATATAATTTTGAAAAAGAAATCATAGATGGATTAAGCAAAATGTCTATATCAACGTTTTATACAAAATCCGCCTCAGTGATTATTATTGTGTTATTATCATTATTAATATGGCATCTTCAAGACCAATTACACTCTTAATGAGTGGCTCTGAGACAGACAAGCAGACAAAGACAGACACACAGGTAGACAGACACACACAGGTAGACAGACACGCAGGTAGACAGACACACACAGGTAGACAGAACACACACAGGTAGACATAACGACACACACAAGTAGACACACACACAGGTAGACAGAAAGACACACACAGGTAGACAAAGACACACAGGTAGACAAAGACAGACACACAGGTAGACATAAAGACAGACACACAGGTAGGCAGAAAGACACACAGGTAGACATAGACACAGGTAGACAGAAAGACAGACACAGGTAGACAGACAAAGACACACAGAGATACACAGATATACAGGCAGACAGACAGGGCCGGATTAAGAAGTCTCCGGGCCCTAGGCTATTCAGATTGGCGGAACGTATTTCAGCAAAGCTGTCTTTCGAAGCATGTGTTGCATCATGCTGCGCTGACCACCTTGTTGTTGATAATGATTTGATGACATCTCCATGAATGGTTGACTTGAGTATACTCCACCGATGCGTTGAAGCAGAGAAAAAATTAAAGAGTGCTTGTAAAAGTCCAAAAAATGAAACTGCAGTGACACAACACTCCGCAGCACATGACCCAACAAGATTAAGAGAATGTGCTGAGCAGGCCACATATTCAGCAAGTGGGTTGATTTGCTTGATACAGGCTTGCAATCCATTATATTTACCCGACATGTTACTTGCATTGTCGTAGCTCTGGCCCGGCAATCCATAAAAAGAGAGATCATGTTTTAAGCAGAGTATCCAGTACTACATTCATCATTGTTTCTCCATCATGGCCTGAAAGAGGAATGAATTTTATAAAGCGCTCTACAGGCTTACCACTGGGTCGACAAAGCAACAATGAATGTCAAATTTATCTGTATGTGAAATATTTTGGTGTTGAATCTACACTTATTGCAAAGTATTATGCAGTTTTCACAGCTGCTATGATTTTTATTGAGGACCTTCTTAGTCATCAGTTCAATAAATTCATTGCATATAGTAGATGACATGTAAGATACAGTGCCTCTTCCCGCATTCCCAAGGCGTGACACATGATTTGCCCAAGAAAAGGATCAAATTGTGCTAAAAAGTTCTATGATCCTAGGGAAAAGGGCCCTTGTTTTCCGAACCAAAAAACCCCATTTTTCTCCACGGAAAGCAAGTCCTCTTAGAGCTAGGAATTTACAACAGCAACAACTCTTTCTAGAACTTTTTTCCAATAAGTGCGCTCTTTTTCAGTTTGATTTTCCAAATGAGAATCCAATAAGCCTTTTTTCTGTGCACAAAATACACTGGCTAAAATGCAGCTCCTGTGAGTGGTGCTGTTTTCATGTTCCTGTGACCCACTCGCATAAGAATGTCCAACATCACGTTCACGAGATGCCATAATGAGGATGTATCACTGTCTGTAATCATGCAAATACAAATTTTTCATTATCAATTATTATTAATTTTTTAGTTATTATTAAATTTTTTTTTCTGTCAATTGGGGGGATATGGCCCTTGTAGCCCCCTTTCCTCTGGCTGCGCATCTAAAAATTCAAAAAAGTTACCAGAAAGGAGTCATATACAGAACTTTTCCATAGATTAGGTTAGTGATTTTGGGGTACGAAAAATTTTACTAATTCATCCCCCTTGATTCTCCAATTTACTTAAACAGAAATCATACTGATCCAAGAACAATGCACAATGGTATTTTTATTACCATTTTCATAACTAACTAATCATTATTTTTGCATGAATATGGCCTACCCCATAGATAAGGACATGAGAATTAAAAAATGCAGGGACAATTTTCAGTTTCACCCAACCAACGATTTTCTGATGTGGCTTATGTGTTTCTGGGGAAAAATTTTAGTAAATTAATTGATGTTCTCATCACTTCCGTCGCAACTTGGGAAAAATAACATTTTCGACGGAAGTGATGTAGAACATCAATCAATTGAGATCTGTTATTGAAATGATAAAGACTTTAAAGACAGGACAAAGTGCTTTTAAAACCCACAAACGGAAGTCAGTTTGCTTCTAGGTTTCTTTTATAGTATTTTTACCAAAAATGTGTCTTTTCTGGTTCCCTGCATCTTTACTGGTCAAGTAACCCTATCAGGTACCTCCCTTAACATTTAGAGGCGAAAACAAACATTTATCCATACACATCAATGTCTATCAACAACACTTCAGTTAATTTGTCACAGTACAAGTCTAGATAATGTGTAATTACTACAGAAAATTGGAGAGGAATCTCCCCTACTCACCCATTAGCTGGGAAAAAAACAGCTGTTCTGATGTAAAAAAAAGGCCATGTTGAGTGTTGCCATCTATGGTTAGGTTTATTTATTTTTATTTTATTTTATTTCATTATTTATTTTTGATTTGATTAATTTTTAAAAATCAATTTTACTCTCCAAACACTTGAACTTTTTAGGTAGGGACCCCTTTGCACTTGCACCATGTGTGCAGTCTTGGATGAGCCCCTGAACCCCTTGGACCGCGGGGCCCCCAAATGCGCGGGGCCCTAGGCAAATGCCTAGGGTGCCTATGCAGTAATCCGGCCCTGCAGACAGATACAGACAGGTTTATGTGCAACAGTGAAAACAAATAGAGAGTTCAAGAGTATGAGCCTTTCTTGCCACAGACTTCATCTTAGGGGCCATGGTGAAATTTACTGTCCAGTTAGTACAGATAATACAGGATGATGCTGCTGATAGGGCAGGGTTACTCAAACTGATGCTACCTGCATGACGCATTACCGCCGCGAGTATTGTCAAATATTGTACAGTGGTGTGCATCAGCCGGCCCAGTCCAGCTGCCAGATGCACGGCATAAGTCGAGTGGACGTATGTCGAGCAGATCGTAAGTCGGATGGTAGGTGTATAATGTTTATATGCAATGTAACGTGTTTCTTATATAATTTTGAAGAAAGTATCATAGATCGATTAATGAAAATGTCTTTATTAACGTAAAATAAGACATTTAATGTGCCCAAGAGAGAGGAGGAGTATGGAAGAAGTGAATGTTTTCAGATATTTGGGAGTTGATGTGTCAGCGGATGGATTTATGAAGGATGAAGTTAATCGTAGAATTGATTAGGGAAAAAAGGTGAGTGGTGCGTTGAAGTATATGTGGAGACATAAAACGTTACCTATGGAGGCAAAGAAGGGAATGTATGAAAGTATAGTAGTACCAACACTCTTATATGGGTGTGAAGCTTGGGTTGTAAATGCTACAGCGAGGAGGAGGTTGGAGGCAGTGGAGATGTCCTGTCTAAGGGCAATGTGTGGTGTAAATATTATGCAGAAAATTCGGAGTGTGAAAATTAGGAGGTGTGGAGTTAATAAAAGTATTAGTCAGAGAGCTGAAGAGAGGATGATGAGGTAGTTTGGTCATTTAGAGAGAATGGATCAAAGTAGAATGACATGGAGAGCATATAAATCTGTAGGGGAAGGAAGGCGGGGTAGGGGTCGTCCTCGAAAAGGTTGGAAGGAAGGGTTAAAGGAGGTTTTGTGGGCGAGGGACTTGGACTTCCAGCAAGCGTGCGTGAGTGTGTTCGATAGGAGTGAATGGAGGTGAATGGTATTTGGGACCTGACGAGCTGTTGGAGTGTGAGCAGGGTAATATTTAGTGAAGGAATTCAGGGAAACCGGTTATTTTTATATAGCCGGACTTGAGTCCTGGAAATGGGAAGTACAATGCCTGCACTTTAAAGGAGGAGTTCGGGATATTGGCAGTTTGGAGGGATATGTTGCGTATCTTTATATGTACATACTTCTAAATTGTTGTATTCTGGGCACCTCTGCAAAAACAGTGATTATGTGTGAGTGAGGTGAAAGTGTTGAATGATGATGAAAGTATTTTCTTTTTGGGGATTTTCTTTCTTTTTGGGTCACCCTGCCTCGGTGGGAGACGGCTGACTTGTTGAGAAAAAAAAAATTACTATGGCATCATGAGTAGAGAGACCCTTAGTGATTTTAATGTGTACCTACATGCCAGCACAGTGTGTAAGTATATTTAAGTACAGGTACACATAAGCATAATTATCAGAGTACATCCACTTCCTCCATACTCCCTCCCTCCAATCTGCTATTCATTTTATCATTACATAAACTTTTTGTTACCCTAATCACCTTGCTCTTTTCTAGTTTTATTTCCTTCTCTCATATTTTTTTTTGATACTTCATATACATTCCCAAATTCATCCACCAACAATTGCAAATTATTTTCAGAATCCCCCCAAAAACTGCCATCAGCGAAGAGTAACTGAGATGACTCCCACTTTGTATGAGATCTGACATCTTTTAATCCCTTACTCATTCCCAACACACTACCATTCACTTCTTTTAAAACTCCATCTATAAATATATTAAACAACTATGAAAACATCACACATATATACAGATCTACAACAAACAGCTGAAAGCTTAACTAACAATTGTCCCTCTGGTACTAGCAAGAGTAATTTAGACAAGTCACTCAAACATTTATTAACCCTTAAACTGTCGAAACGTAGATCTACGTTCACTAGAGTAGTGCTCCGAACATTGATCTACATTTTTTTTTTTCTACATAAGCATGTAAAATCAAACGTACCTCTACGTTCGGAGCACTAAGCGAGTGAACGTAGATCTACGTTTGGATAGTTTAAGGGTTAAAAATTAAACATGCAAATACAGCAAATATTAAATGAAATTCTAAAAAAAATTTAAACGAACCACTTACCTTTTTACAAGGCTTCTTACAAGTAACTTCATCAGCTTTAGTTGTCAACTCGGAGCAGAGAATGTTGCAATCCATAGCACCACAACGGCATTTAACAGGAGTTTCAAGAGGACATGGCGGACATGGCCCCTCATGGCACAGTGCCTGGCACTCATGGTATGACCCTGGCACTCCACATTTAAGAAGGCGCTGACAGGGTTGACTGCAGGTGGGAACTGGATCCGAGCAGGATTTTCGCTGAATTGCTCCATCTCTTTCATACAATTTTTCCAAGGGAACCTATGAAAATTAAAATTTCTAGCAAAATTCAGCAAAGTTAACCACTTTCACAGTAGTCACCCTCAAAACTGAAGCCTCTCTAGGTTGAAATTAAAAAGTGTTCAACCTAAAATAATGCTTTTCTAAAGGTAATACAGTAGAACCTCTGTATCCATGGATTTAGTATCCACGGTTTCAGTTATCCTTGGTTTACCATGGCCTGAAAATAACCCTTAATTTTGTTTAATAATGGCAGTTGTGATGAATGGTTTGAAAAACCAACAAGTTGAAGATTGAGACACTTATGCAACATATGGAATCTTTATTCAGGAAAAGTTTTGCCACACAGTGGCTTCATCAGTCCTCTCCTTACACCTTTCTACTTTGTATTGGACTGATGAAGCCACTGTGTGGCAAAACGTTGCCTGAATAAAGATTCCCATATGTTGCATAATTGTCTCAATCTTCAACTTGTTGGTTTTTCAAACCATTCATCACATCTGTCAGACACTGCAGCATCATGGATCTTGTTACAAAGAATTCTTCAACACTTGTCCAACCTTTGGACGAAGACCTACTTCGACTAGTGGATAGTACCACTATGACCCCGCCTCCTCCTGCTTCGCCTCACCTGACTAGAGTATATAAGTCACCTCTACAACCTTATGCTGTACATTCTACAAGATTGATGGACTGAACACATCGACTCTAGGCTGAGGGATTGATTACCTCAAACTCCTCCTCTCCTTACACCTTTCTACTTTGTATTGGACTGATGAAGCCACTGTGTGGCAAAACATTTCTTGAATAAAGATTCCCATATGTTGCATAAGTGTCTCACTCTTCAATAATGGCAGTTCTTCAACACCTAAGAGAAGCTGTGAAATGTTTCCCATCAGTGAAAAAGTGCTAATTCTATACTTATTTTGCATAATTTATCAATTAAACTTTACAATAGGTATGTATGTAAACAAAAAATGACTTGAAGGATTCACTACTATCCATGGTTTCAGGTATCCACGGCAGGACTACTATAACACCAAAAATGCAAAATTTGATGTAATACTTACAAAAATTACAGCAATTTGAGAGTGCTATGATTTAAGTGTACAATTACATAAGTAACACTGGCCCCAATCATGCAGACGTATATGACCAACAGCAAAAGTGTTAATAAAAAAAAATGTTGGTGGAAATTAAAAATACTGCACATCCTATTTATTTGTAAGAAAATACTTGTTACATGCGTACCAGATAAGAGGAAACTCACGTCCCACATGGGGCAGCTGGTAAGGCTCATTAAAGGCACACATGCTTAACATTATCAATGAACTATTAATTTTTTGGAAAATTTCTTTTTTTAAATGCTAACAGTGTCAAAATGTTAAAATAGATAATATAATAAAAATAATTAAATAAAAATGTCTTTTTCACAACTCTGATTGCATATCCCCATTTTTCATACTGCACACAATATAATACTATAGCCTTGAAGTAGTTGGTGTATCTGCTCAAAATACACATTTAGAAGTGAAGATGATTAAGGACTGCCAGAGAGTATACACAGATCATTTGTACTTTGTAACAGTAATGGGGACAAGAGACAGAGTAGAATTACTGGAAAAAAGACTGCTGAGTACCAGGTAAAGTGTAAGGTTGAAATATTATTGAAACAGTTATGGTCTCAAAAAAAGCTTAGCTGATTCTGCCTCCTACATTTAAGCAAGATGATAAACCTTGCTACATCCTAACTCGGCCCAGAAGGCCTACATTCCCTCCCTCCCTCTTCAAATGAGCATTCTCCTGATACAGCGGTTTTCAATTATACCCACTTTTCATTTATTTGGCATTTGTTCTGCTATTCTGGCATTTTTTCAGCCTGACGCACTTAACGTTAAAGCTGAGCATCCAAAGTTATTTTATTCTCTGTTTACAGCCTTTATGCATTCTGCACAAAGGCTTTTACATACATCTGAAAGTGAAAAAAGGTTATGTTCCACTTTTCAGTGACAGCCTGGAACCTAACCTGCAGTACAAGTGGGGCCCTCCTGTGGATGAAAATTTTCAAGAATGTAATTCTGACATTAATGGGTAGTGTACTGTTAATAAACTAACTTTTATAGTGGTTTACAGTTCAAGGCATAATAAGAGAAAAACAACAGACTTTCTATATCAGTACTTAAAGCTAATCAAAGAATGATTTTCTATGCTAAAAAAAAAAAATGGAACTCACTTTACCACAGGGACAGCGTGTGATGGTATGTACTGCTCTCTCACAAGGTTTGCAGCTTCCAGGGTGACACTTGGCTTTACACTGGTGATTATTACATTCTAAAGTGCGTAAGCACTTGTCCTCACATTCGTAGATGCTTATGTCGAATGTCTCTTGAGTGCACACTACTTCACGGCTATTTTTTCCACAAAAGCATCCTAAAATTGATTAATTCCCTAAGTTTAAAAACAGTATTGTATATGGATATAATGCACAATGAAATCCTGCATTTTAACCAAAAGATCATTCAGTGGTCTCTGCCTACATATATCTGATATAGGTCAAATAATGACCAGAAAACTGGTGCTCAAAAGAACACCATTCACCTTCCTTTTAGTTCAATAAACAGGTACATATGGCATCCTTGTTGGAAGGGTGTATATCCCCTTTACTTTTGTGTTTCAGAATCCAGTAAATCACAATACCCCAGCACTGACTGAAGGAAGTTGAGAGATTTGAAGAAAACCATCAAAGTGGGATGTTTGAATGTGTGTGGATGTTGTGCGAATGATAAGAAAGAGATGATTGTGGACGTTATGAATGAGAAGAAGCTGGATGTCCTGGCTTTAAGTGAAACAAAGCTGAATGGGGTGGGAGAATTTCAGTGAGGAGAAATAAATGGGATTAGGTCAGGGGTTTCAAACAGAGTTAGAGCTAAAGAAGGAGTAGCAATAATATTGAAGGATAAGTTATGGCAGGAAAAGAGGGATTATGTGGTGTAAAATAAGGGTAGGGTGTGAAAAATGGGCTATAGTAAGTGTTTATGCACCTGAAGAAGAGAGAAGTGTAAAGGAGAGAGAGATTTTGGAAAATGTTCAGTGAGTGCATGGGGAGTTTTGAACCAAGTGAGAGAGCACTTGTGGTTGGGGATCTCAATGCTAAAGTGGGTAAAAATGTTGTAGAGGGAGTAGTAGGAAAATCAGGGGTGCCAGGGGTAAATGAAAATGGGGAGCATTTAACCCTTTCAGGGTTGAGAGGCCCTCTCCTAAATTTGTTCTCAGGGTTGAAAAATTTTCAGAAAAAAAAATTATTTTTTCTTATGAAATGATGGAGAATCTTGTCCCGATCATAATGACACCAAAAGTATGAAATTTGATGGAAAACTTATGGAATTATGCTCTCGCAAAGTTAGCGGCCTCGCCAATGTTTACGCATCAGCGATTTTGCCAAATTTGAGCCCTATTTTTGGCCAATTCCTGTGTACTAGTCGACATAAATCATATTTATTTCGTTAGAACTCAACTATTTCTATCGAAAAAGTACAAGAAACCATCCATTTACCAATTTCAACTATCCAATAAAGTGGTTAGAAATTGGCAATTTTGCCAATTTCACACAAATTTCAGAAGATGCCAATTTCCAAATAGGGTCCAGAATAAACAAGACAGACATTCCTGGCACTACAATATCAAGTTCTCTGTTTGTTAGTCATGTCCCCAGGCCCCTCTTATATTTCTTTTGCTTTCCACTTTGAATTTTTATTCTTACAAAAAATAGAAGATTTACTGTTATGCAGGCTACTGGATTAGTGTAGAAATGGTTATAAATAATATCAGCACACTTGTGAAAGAATATCAGACTCACCAGTTGATGTCTATTGGACACTTGGCATGATTTGTTTACTTTTGAACTTTGGTAAAAATCAAGCATTTCTGCTACTTTGAGCTCAATTTCAAGGTACGTACTTTTCATTGTGAAACCAATCAACATCATCTCAATTTCTTTAATATATCTTCCATTCCATAAAATGAGACCAGGAAAACTAGAATACAACCATAAATATCATACGAAAATACAGTGCAAAATCGCTGTTTTAATCCAAAAACACGGTCAAAGTTTTTTTTTCTCATTACGCACTGTGTGCTGCAGGATTCTTTTTATACTGCGCATGCTGACCACATAGACCCATTCTTTCATATGTAGGCCTACCAGCTTTCTCTCGCTAGATTTGAAGGCACTAGAATTTAGGCGTTCCAGTACGTCAGTAACCCTGGTGCATAAGCTGTACTAGTACGTCGAAAACCCTGAAAGGGTTAATTGAGATATGTGTATTAACCCTTTGACTGTTTCCGACGTATAAATACGTCTTACGAGCCAATGTTTCTGACGTATTTATACGCACAAATTCTAGCGGCTTCAAATCGAGCGCCAAAGGCCTGGTAGGCCTACACGGGAGAGAATGGGTCTCAGTGGTCGGTGTGCACCCTGTGAAAAAAATCTGGGACCTAGCGGTGCATTGTGGGAACGCCATGTTGTCAGTCCATTTTCACCATGCCTCTCGGTAAGAAGTTCCTCACTCCTCGGCGGATTGGAGGTCTTTTGTTCCCAAGTGATAGCTCTAACAGCGATGAAAAGTGTCAAGTGACAGTGAATTCAAGGGTTTTCAAGTGAGTGTTACCGAAAAAAGTGCCCAGGATAACGTAAATAGTGACGAAAACCCAGATGACCCACAACCTTCGACCTCTGGTGCTGTGCCGGCTTGTTCACGTTCACGTTCGCCTGTACCAGGACGAAAGAGGAAACTATTTGGTCGTGTACAACACCCCGATGATAGCAGTGATAGTGATAGTGATAGTGATTTCAAGGTCATTGAAAGCAGTTCTAGTGACAGTGAGAGTGAATATTCCCCAGTGAAGCGCCAGTATGTACGACGTAGCATGCGGTCTGGTAGTGTTTCATATGTTGTTCCAAGAGGAAGGAGAAACTCTGGGAGCACATCCCGTGGCCCAACACCACGACCTGATAGTGAAGATGACGATATTGTAACGATGGGAATGAATGGTGACAGTGAGGGAGGAGGCAGTGGTGGTGATAGTGAGGGTGGCACGGCCCATGATTTTATTCAAAGGAAGACTCTCATTCAAGCAATATATACCAAGCAAGAGGAAACGCTTTGGTATAAAGCTATTTGTATTGTGTGATTGCAGAAGTGGTCTTGTTTTAGATATTATTGTGTACACTGGCAGTAATACTTTGAGAGATACCATGAAGTTATTGGGTATCTCTGGTGATGTGGTTCGAACAATGATGGAACCATATCTTGGTAAGGGGCATATGTTATTTACTGATAACTGGTACACAAGCCCCTTACTCAGTGATTTCTTGCGAGTGAACTTGACAGACGTGTGTGGCACAGTGCGTGGTAATCGCAAACATATGCCAAGGTTCGACGCTGGCACTCGCAGAGGTGAGGTGCAAGCCTTTGCTGCCAATGACATCATGGCATTTCGGTGGAATGACAAACGTGATGTCACATTGTTGACATCAGTTCACACAAACGAAATGGTACCCAGTGGCAGGGACAACAGAGAGACCAATGAACCCATTCTAAAGCCTGCAGCTGTCATGGACTACAACCTCAATATGCGCTTAGTGGACAAATGTGACATGCAGATTGGGTTTGCAGACTGTGTACGCAAGAGTTATAAGTGGTATATCAAACTTTTTTTCCATCTTGTTGATATCTCTATGCTAAATGCTTATAACATATACAAGTTGAAGACCAACAAAACACCAAAATATGGTGAATTTTGCCTGTCAGTAATCAGACAAATAACTGCAAAGTACAAAGGAGCAACTCCTGCAATAGACCAGCGCCCACAGACGTCATCTCGTACGAGGCCTGGTGATCACTACCCCATACAACTGCCTCCTACTACTGCCAAGAAAAATGCTCAGAAGAGGTGTTATGTATGTATGCATACCACAAAACGCCCACAAACACGCAGAGACACTCGTTTTATGTGTGAGGAGTGTGAAGTGCCCCTCTGCATATACCCATGTTTCAAAGAGTTCCACAAGCTGCAGCAGTTCTAGGAACGTGTTTAGTGACTGTACATATGTATATATATTATGGAACAATAGTAATAAACATTGTTTTGTATTGTTTGTTTGTGTAAACAAAGTGTATACACAAACTAATAGTGATAAAGTTTGTTCTGTTATTGTGTTGTAAATAATGAGTGTATATTTGAACAATGCACCTTACATTGGTCTCACAGGCCACATAAGTTACCTGGAAAAGAAAAATATTGAAAAATGCAAGAAACCTTTGAATTAGAGTAAATAAAAGAATACCGGGTGGGCGGCAGTCGCCGCTGTTGCCGTACGCACGTCAATTTCTGCAAACTTTGCGGCTCTATATCTCGGTAAGTACTGATGGCAAAAAATTTTTTTTAGGCTTAAAACACTAGTAAAAATATTCCTAACATTTTCATAAGAAAAAATAATTTTTTTTTTTCGAATATTTGGCGACATAGAATGACAGTTTCAGAGAGGGGCCTGAAACAGTCAAAGGGTTAAGAGGTTTGGTAATAAGCAATACATATTTTATGAAAAAGAGGATAAATAAGTATAAGGTATGATATAGCATGTAATGAAAATGGTTTGTTAGATTATGTATTGGTGGATAAAACGTTGATGGGTGTGCTTCAGGATGTACATGTTTATAGAGGGGCAACAGATATATCAGATCATTATTTAGTTGAAGCTACAGTTAGAGTAAGAAGTAGATGGGACAAAAGGAAAATGGAAACAGCAAGTAAGAGAGAGGTGAAAGTTTATAAACTAAGGGAGGAGGAAGTTAGGGTGAGATATAAGCAACTATTGGCAGAAAGGTGGGCTAATGCAAGTACGAATAGTGGGGGGAGGGGGGAATGGAAGAGGGTAGGGATAGTTTTAAAAATGCAGTATTAGAATGTGGGGAAGAAGTTTGTGGCTGTAGGAGGGTGAGTGCAGGAGAAAAGAGGAGTGACTGGTGGAATGATGAAGTAAAGGGTATGATAAAAGGGAAAAAGATAGCTTATGAGAGGTTTTTACAAAGCAGAAGTATTGTATATGGAGAATAAAAGAAAGGTGAAGAGAGTGGTGAGAGAGTGCAAAAGGACAGCAAACAAAAGAGTGGGAGAGGCGCTGGCAAGAAATTTTGCTGAAAATAAGAAAACATTTTGGAGATAAACAAGTTAAGAAAGCCTAGGGAACGAATGGATCTGTCAGTTAAAAACAGTAGGGGAGTTAGTAGATGGGGAGCTGGTGGTATTGGGTAGATGGTGGGAATATTTTGAGGAACTTTTAAATGTTAATGATAAAACTGAGGCAGTAATTTCTTGCACTGGTCAGGGAGATATAACATCTTTTAGGAGTGAAGAAGCGCAGGATG